CCTGCTGAAAACCAAAGAAATGAAATGTTTGTAATTTTGTCACAAGAGCTGGAGTTGCCTCGTCTTCTTGAGATTTTTCTGCTCCTAAGCGTGAGGTATTAGTTGCTTGCACTTTTTTACAGAAATTAGCAATTTACAGTTTGCTTTTGTTTGCTTCAGAATTACTAACTGGAATGATTAATTGTTGCTATATTGATATTGTCATTCTTTATATGATTCCTTAAAAATAAAATTGTCGTAATATTGACCATAATTTTAACATCTGGATTTTCCTTTACTTCTCTCATGTGAGTAGAATCTAATTAACTGAAACAGCTGCCTTAGCTTATTGCTTTTCCTCCCTTCTTTGCTTGATATGAGAATTGCTTTCTCAATTATTTTGTGAGTACTTTAAAAAAATAATCTGAGTAGGTAATGAATGTTTTGTGAATGAATGATATTTAATTTTTTTTGCTTTTTGGGATAAATGCAACTTCAGCATGTGCACAAAACCTACCTAAAAGAGAATCTAACTATTGGAATACTTACTAAAAATAACTGCCTATCCAACTAGAAAAAAAATGTAGAAATGACATTTTTAGATATTAGAAAATTCAACAGCAGATATTGCAGCTTCATTAAGAGCCCTGAGATTCTTGTCAATGAACAATGAAAGCCCTTTTTTTATTTTGGCTTTAATATAGCTACCTGTGTTGGAGTAGCTAAACCTCAAATCGTACTGAGTCTTGTGCTCACCTCTGTAGACTTCTTTACTTGCTCTTTGGTGCTTCATGGAGTTCAATTGTACAGTTTTGTGGAGAACTTTTTTGTCCTTTTGGGCTCATGAGTAGATAATTATAGGCCTATACTGGTGGACTGGTAGCCACTGAGTAGAGTAACTTGTGAGGTACTGGGAAGTCATAAGTGAGAACCCCTCTCCTAGGCTCTCTAGGCTTATTTTAAGCACTACTAAGCCTGTGTGATGTGGCTTTACCTGAGGAAGGAGAATACAAGAATGAACCAGATCAGACTCTGAACTGACTCTGTGGAGAAGATCAAGTCATGGGACTAGAGGGTGCTGTGCTCTTCACTGTGCGATACCAAGGCCAGTTGACGTGGTCTAGGGCTGAGCCACTGTCAGAACAAGTAATTTTCTGGGCTCCATCAGTTAGGCTTCTACCATTGTTCTTTACACAGGCACTTTTGCAGCTGCATGCTGAATGACATTAATTTACTGCTGAGGTAGAAGAAAAGTCTTGGCCCTTTCTTCCTCTCCTCCCCAAAATAATTTGTTCTGAAACAATTCTGCAAACTGTTCTGATTTTACAGTGTTCTCACAGCACTTCTATGCAAGTAGGTCATGAATGTCACTGTTCCTGTGTTCTTTCTGTAAGTTCATTTAGGTTCAGAAAAATAATTCAATCTTTCTGGCATAGTTCACCGTCTTGCAGCTGAGTAAATTAACTGTAATGACTTTGAGTTCTGAAGAAGCTAATAACCACACTCATGCTGTCTGGCCCAGCTGTCTCAGAGGTTCTCTCTTCAAAGCATTTAGAAGAACAGACCTTTCCTGAGTGTACCTTTCCTTCAGTGCAAAATCCACACCCCTGCCTAAAATGGTTGAGAGAAGTGATTTTAAGTTAAGATCCTATGGACTAAATGAAGCAGGCTGCATGCATATTCCTGTTTGCTGACCCTGTCAGGAGGATGGAGTGCATAGCTCTGGACAACATCTGCTTATCCTGCTTCAGCAAGATTCTCATATTGATTTCTCTTGTTTGTGTGACTTCTGTGTGGACTAGTTGTATACCTGCAGATAAAAATAGTTGAATTTGACCAGACAAATTTCAAATCAAATTTGAAACTTGAAGGAAACAGCTGGATTAATAGGATAGCATCAGCTCTGGCATGCAGTGGGTTGAATACAGAGCAGACCTATAACCAACAAGTCATTATTTCCAATCAGTTACTGTCTCTGGGACTGACTGACGGCTGCTATCTCTTACTCATTGCTACTGGGTGGAAGTAATTTTGTTCAACAGATTGGAAGAGAATTCACACTGACAATGTTCACCCTTTCCTCCATCAGTTTTCATGGCAGGACGTTTTTGTAATTTTAATCAGAAGCCTGATTAGGTATTTGGGTATATTTCAGGTATTTTTTTAATCTAGTGGTCTGTTATATTCTGTGGGGAAACAGTACTTCCGAGCTCCTCTTCTGGATGAAAATGGGTAAGGGCCAGCACACCTATTGAGAGTACCTATGTGGTGAAAAGGTTGATATTTTACTTGTTCAGTCTTGAGTGATGAATATGGAATAATTTGTAAGAACAGGTGATTAACAGATGGAAACTACACATTACTCAGAAATAGAAACCTCTTCAAAATTTACCAAAATATTCAGCAGTTCTATGCAGCATGATAATTTTCAGAAAACCCAATTATGTTCAGGAAGGTCAACCAGAAGAAAAAATTCACTGGTCAAGTCATGTGTAAGGTGAATACATGTATATGTCTGAGTGGTTAGAGCGGCAGGAAAAGATGGGGGTTGTATGCTCTGGGTTGCCATGGAAAATAAAACCAACCCAAATGCATATGAGGGTACTATTTAATACTAAAAGAAGTACTGTAGTTAAGGATATGACTGATCTCAAGAGTACCTTCATTGTATAGTTTCTTCCACAGAGCTGTCCTTAATCTGTCTCAATATACATGCTGTCAGGATTTATCCAAATAAAATAGCTTTTTGGAAAGTAGTTATTTCATTATGTATTGTAGTATTCTTTGTGCGGTAAGTATATTAATTAAAGAAAGCAGCACTACTGTTGCGTTGAGGCGGTATTCTGAGACAAAGTCATATAACACAATGGTTTAAAAATACTTAAATCATTATTATGATCTTCACTTAATGTCAAGTGGACTTGATTTTTTTTTTTTTGCCTCTTTTTGGGCAATTAATTTGGTCCAGTGGTAGATGATTTGATATATACATCTACATGGAAAAAGAATAATCCAATAATCTATATATATCAGATGAGTGCCATCTAGTGTCTAGAGCTTTTCAATACAAGTTGTGTTTTGTAAATTAATCAGCAATTTTACTGAGTGATGGAGCAGAAATTACTGCATCATTGTTTTATATTAAACTGGTATGGAATAGTTTAATAGGAAAAATGTAACTTTCAACCACGTATAAGAAAAATAAATTTAGTTTTTTAATGTAACAAGACATTAATTTCAGTTGTGTTACTATTGTATTTAACTGTTTCATAGTAGTTGTGTGTTTGAGGTGTTCATGTAGCGTTCATTTTATTCTTTCTAGGTGTCCTCTTGACCTTCAGTCAGTATTTTGCCTGGCTCTAGATTAATTTTTAATACAGGAACCAGTGTTATTTCCCATGGCCTATATACACGGTATATATGCCTTCTAACAGTTAGGGAAATGAAATGTGTGCGATAGGAAATTTACGGTTGTAGATATGAGCTTGATTTTTTAATAGTGTATGGTTAATGTGGGAGATTTTCGATTAAAGAAGCTTTGCTTTAAAAAAGATTTATGCACTAAAAATTTTAAAAGGAAATATTTTCTTTGAGTTTTGTATGTTTTGTTTAATGTCAGAAACACTGATCATTTCCCTGTCAGTGAAGAAACAGTGTATATGTGAAAACATGCGTTTCTCTCAGGAGGGGCCTACAGTCCACTTACTCAAGTGAGATGTCTTTAATAGTGTCTTACATTAAAATCAGTTTTAGCAGATAGTGGAAGGACTGTTTCAAACCCTCTTCTTTTTGTTCTAAATTCTGGATTCCTTTATGAATGTTGTGTTCTGATTTCTATTTCAGGAACTTCAGAACAGGAGGAAGATGAAAGATAGTGTCACAGAAGAACATTTATATTTGGGTTATTCTCATCAGTGCAGAGACAGTATCTTTCCTCTTCATACATCTATTTCACTGTTTTTGCTATCCTACTGTGACTGCAAATTATTCAAAATTTTCCTAGTGCCGACTAGTGAAGATGTGGATGATCAGTTTGTGACAAAAAACCTCCTTGGCGATCTCAAGGTCCATTTAATCTCCAGATGTCAGCTTCCAGCGGTTGTGCAGAGCTGCTGTTTACCTGCTGTTGTTGTGAAAGATGGCAAGTTCTGCCGAGCTGGGCTTTCTGTTGTCTTGAGGCATATAATACAGAAAACATATGAGGCAGATCCATCTAAAAAGGATGTTTTGGAACTCTTAGGCTTTAAGAAGACTTGCTTAAAAGCCTGTGCTGAAGTGAGTGCATCGCTTTCTCTTAGATACATTAATAGGTTTTTTTAATGAGCATTAAGTACTTTAAGTATTTAATAATGATGTAAACTAAGTTCTTTGAGTAAGAAACTTAATTTGTTTAGAAAATTAAATTCCTCAGTGGAGAAATACCTGTATTTTAGCATAAAAATGAAAAATAATTCTTTTAAAGATGCTACCTTTTAGCAGCACAGAAAGTACCTTAAAATTCAAAAAAGTAAGTCAATTCTTTGTTTTATGCCTAGCAGTGTGGTTTCAGTAAGTTATAAAGTTCAGCTCTTGCAGTTTGAAGCGAACTAAGAAATGCCTATTCCCAAGGCACACTGCTGGCTCACGTGTAGTTTATTAACACCTGGATGTACAAGGTGTTTTCAGCAGAGCTGCTTCCTGGCCAGGTAGTCAGTCCCTACTAGCCTGTAACATTACAGAGGTTTAGTCCACAGTAAATGCAGGATGTTTTACTGCATTTCATGTCAGTACCTGTGCAGGCCCCTGTGAATGACAACTCTTTCTTGGAGTTTGTTGAATGCTCTGCTCAGTTTGCCGTCATCCTTTATCAGAGTGTATTCCATCCTCCTCCTCTCCGGGTCACTGGTAAAAATAGTTAAATAGGGTAAGCCTCAGCATAGACTCCTAAATTGCTCCATATCTAACTGACCTTCAGGCAGAGTGTGACCTGTTAACCACTACTACCCTTTGAGTCGCCATTTCAGCCCGTTTATCACATAGCAGTTTACTAATCTGGCGGCTCATCTATCTATCTAGACTTTTCTTCCTCACCCCTCTCAGGAGGTTGAATTCCGCTATGTCATGATTGCTACATCCATGGTTGCCATTGCTTACTGTGCCTCCAACCCAGTTCCTCCCTGTTGGTGAGTTGCAGATATGAAGAAGTGTATCCCTATTAGTCTGGCTAGTAGTAGCATAAAGGAATTGCCTCTGACATCCTCCAGAAACCTCTGGTTCTATTCTCTTCTTTGAACTGCTGGGGAACTTGATTCCATATTTCAAATGGCTGCAAAGTGAGTGAACTGAATGAGAAAAGACAAGAATTGAAAAGTTTTGAAACCTTTAGGTATGACTAATAAGAGGACAAGGGCAATGTGAAAAAATAATGGTTTTTAAGGTGCTATTTGGTTAAAGTTTTTTTGATATTGCGTGTTAAAAATCACTAATAATATAATGCATTTCTGTAAAATAAGCATGTTCAAAAACTGTTGGGTGTAATCTGGTTTTATCGCCAGGACTTGATAGAGATGATATATATAAATTGCTCACAATTTTTCTTCTTATGAATTACTCAGCCACCCTTATTTTATGCCAGTAATAAGGAATAAAAATATGCTATACTAGATAACTGCTCATATAAGATTTAGCTTCCTAGTTCTGCTATTGCAGAAGTAATACAGAGTATCTGAGCTTTAAAATGATCAAAGAATGTATTTAAACTTGGAATTTCTTTGCTTGAAGTGCACAAAAAGGTACTCTGGATTTTGATTCTTTCTGTAGAGACATTAATTACATGAATTTTCCTGACAGGTTAGCCAGTGGACCAGACTTTGTGAGATCAGCATACCTCTGGCTGTTGAAGGATTTTTGACTGCATCTCCTGAGCACTGTCACACTATTCCTCCTGACATTTTACAGCTTGAAAGGAAGCTTGGAGAACCTGTCCGAGTACATAACGATGACAAAATTCGAAGGCAAAAACTGCAACAACAGAAGGCAAGTGCCAAGGCGACGGTGCCTGTACTTCGGGAAGAAGCAACAGAGACAGGAACAGCCATGGAAATGCGTGAACGTCCACTTCCAAGTTTGGAACTGAGCATGGCTTTCTCCAAGCTACTTGACCAGGAAGTATCAGAGGCAGTCAACAGGGAGGCCCCTCACATCAGGAGAACAAAAACCTCTGACCTTCCACTTTTGGACCACATTTTTGCAGAAGGACTTTATTTTACCTTGGCAGATATAGTGCTTTTGCCATGCATCCATCAGTTCTTGGTAAGATGATAAATTCTGCAAATGTAGTGTATATATATATATTTTTTTTATAAGAACTATAAAGTTGTAAAATATGTTCATTTAAAGTATGTTGTGGCATTTGCAATGTGAATTTAACCTGAAATGGAAGATTTGTCTTTGGTTTTGTACAAACAAAAAATAACAAATCAGTGAGATCACCAGAATTACTTATCAATACTTAGCTTATCAATACTTAGTAAAGGCTGTTAACTGTTAAAATAGTATGCTGAAATGTTTTGTCACCAACTTGCCCATAAAATTCCGTCATGAAAATACTTAACATGGGCACTTAAAGTACATTCTGATATACATAAGGCAAAAGTAGGTAGGCATGAATCTGTTTTCTTGCTTGACTTTAGTTTACTGAATTTACAGCCATGATCCAGTGGATGAGACCGTTTTAATGGTGAGAAATTTTGGGGGACTTGCAATTTTGCTTACATTGTAAATTGTTAATTTTAAAAGGAGGGAGGGTTTGAGAATGGTATAATAATTTTAAATACTAGAACAGATGTCCCCCATGAGAGATTTAAAATGAGCATTTAAAGTGCGTTGTAATATGCATAGAAAGAAATAAATGTAGGTAAGCATGAACTTACTTTAATTTTGGTTTCAGTGTACCAGGGAGCAAGGCAAAATGAATCCCTATGCAGTTTATTGTACTTTATCAACATGGCTATTATCTGAATTGGAATTCTTTTCAGCAAAGACTCAAACTTACGTGACTTTTAAGTGTATCTGTCCATGTCACGATAGAAGAAAATAAGTATCTACTAGGAAAGTAAGAATGCCTTTTACGGAGGCAGTGAATGGAGAGTGATTCAGGGACTATGGTGGCTTTTTAGAGGTGCAAATCCTTGGCTTTCCTTACCCATACAAAATCTGAAGAGGTAATCAGATATTGACTATGGAAAGTCTTCAGAAAGCTCATTTATTCATGCTAGGAGTATGTAATTTCTTGAGATTGTTGATTGTTTTGAGAAATATTTTTGTCTACAGATACTCCTTTTTGAAATAAGGTGTGCTATGACTTCTGATTTGCTGATTTCTATACATAATAGGTTAATTATTATTAATTTCTGCTGTTGTTTTCTTCTAGTTCCTAGGAATGCTTTGTTTGGGTGGAAACAGTCCTGTGTGGGCCACCTGGCTTTTTGTCAAGTCCTCCCACAGAACGAGGCAGTTTCACTGCAAGTCTGTAAATGAAGATGAGTGTCTAGGACAGCATAATTAATACCTATGTATCAGCAAACCTTTTATTCTTCTGTGTAATTCTGTTTTGTAAAAGCTTTGTATCCGTTAAGCAAAGACTTATCACTCTTGACGCCACTCAGAAATGGTGTGTTTTGTCTGGGGAGCCTGTTTGTTTGGGGTATGCTTCAGCCCCTGGAACTTCAGTAATCTGTAGCTTTGTCATTCTTGTTATTGTTGCTACTAAACCATTATTCAGTGGGAGGTTCTTTGTTTACTGCAGTGAAAGGAGAAATTCCTAGAGCTAGAAGCTCTTGGAGCAAAGTTTATAACTGAAAAGTTAAAATTCTCCTTGGTGGTCCTACGAGATTCACAGCTTAGCTTTCTTTCTACAGTTCTCCTTGGTGGTCCTATGAGATTCACTGCTTTTTTTTTTCCTCATAGAGTCTTGGGTTATGTGTATGGTCCAATAACAATCTGATAGAAAGCTCACACCTTCCTTTAGGGAGATTGAATGTTTTTATATCAGATTGTGTAAAGATTTTGGAAATGCCAAGTGTGGTCTGTTCAAAGATGCCTCTGTCTCACTTCTCTTTTGCAGTCCATCTGGCCTGTTCCCAATACTGGACAAACACCAATGGTCTGTTTTCAGTTGTATTCATCCTTATCTTTGGCCTTCACATCAAGAGGCTTTTGCAACTTGATGAGGAAAAACAATGTAGACTAGCAAAGTTATATGGACACTCTATATAGTGGGTACATGCAAAATTTCATCTTGAGTGTAGGACTGTTTTGTGTTTTGAGATGTGTTTAGAGATCTCAAAAGGATTCCCACTCTCTATATGTAGGAATTTGAAACCTTCAAAGAGTTTCACCAAGACAAAACAGGAAAAACACTGACACAGTTGGCAGTCAGGGCACCACACAGAATGAGGGAAACGGGGGAATAAATCTTTGTTCCCCGACATAGAATATCGTTATAGAAACAGTCTCAAGTGGCAACGCTGATTTTAGGAGTTCCTTCACTCCAGGATGCAGTTTGCCAGGTCATTGGCTGTGTTGACTGTAATTTGAATCAGTAAAGTATTCATGTTTCTGTACTTTTAGATCAGTGAAATGTTAAAAAAATCATTTTACCCCTCTTGTAGGGGAGAGCCTAAGTTGTTGAATCTTGTGGTGGATCTCTCTCACTTTGTACAAAATTTATCTGTGCTGTGTGGTGCGTTGGTTGTTGGTTCTTTATAGCACTTTTCTAGTAAATGCCAGTGACGTGCAGATTCTGTTGTACAAATATCTTAACATCAGGATTAGAAAAATGTATCAAAATATGTTTTGAGCCTAAGAAAGCCATGCAATTTGATTTTTATTTACTTAAAAAAAACAACAAAAACTGGGCTCCTCTTTTCTCCCTCTGCCCTTTTCTCACCTGCAGTGACTGTGTGAAATTGGTAGTTAAGTTTGAAGAACTCTGAGTGCAGTTAAGCTGGAAGAAGTCTGAGTGCAGTAGGCATTTGCATTTTCATTTGGCAAGCTGTTTTGCCAAATTTGCCTTGTGGTGTTTGAAAACAAATGAAATTCCTGGTGAAGATGCTTTCAGTCAGGTTCAGAGAAACAGTCTCTAGCAAATGCTAATATGTGTGCTAATTAGTGAATGCTAATGTGTGACAAATGTGCATTTTATAACTTCTTTTATAACTTCTTTAACTGTGATTATCATCCTCAGTGGATTTCTGTGTGGTGATAGTAGTATGGGAGTCCAGAAGTAGGTTGATAGTATAGCTACTTTTGCATTAAGAAAATGAGTTATTTTATAGAAATGGTTATTAGTTCATCTCTGCTTTGTTGCAAATCATGTAATTGAGGGCTAACAGCAACTTCTGTATAGATATAGGCTTTCCTACTATTTAAAAAAATTTAATATGTTTCATTTTTTTATTTTTCAAGGCCTTTTTAAATAAACTTGTGATTTACTGATGCTAGGCATGAAAAGATTCTTGGATCAGATGCCTAACTGATTTCAGCAATCTAGTTGAAATTGCTCTGTAAATGTACCACAGGCAGCTGAGAATGCAGTTTTTATTTGCTTTTCATGCGTGACCCCTGAGCCCTGGCAATCTGCAGCTTATGAGCTATATGTTGTATCGTGGATTTGTGTGCTCTTGCACCAAGGCTTCCCGTAAAACTATATCTTTCAGTTTCATTTTTATCTAAATTATAAGAGCTCTGAGATAATGTTGCTTTATTTCTCTTCTCTGGTGAATGACTATTTTCTAAGCCGTTATATGTTGATTCTTACAGTTACCATCAAAATTGAATAAATTACATCCAAAAGCTTCTTGCAGGCAATGGGTTGAAACTGCTGTTGTTGATGGAAGTGCCAGAGTTTAATTCTGTATTAAAATGTTATTTATCACTTATAACTGAACTTCCTGGGTTGTGTTTAAAAAAATCACTGTAGCTACGCTTTCACTTTGCTTTAGGGTGTGAATAGTAATGATGTCTTCAGTGGGTATGTGTCTGGAAAGTATCATACAATAAATATGAGGAGACCTAACCAGCTGACTTTAATTATAATTTCGAAAAGTAAGATAAAGAAGCTGGAGCTGATTTTTATTACCTTATTCCATTTCTGTTATCGTTCTGAGGTTAGCTTTGTTATGCTTTCTGTTAACTGTAACTGTTTAAAATTAATAGAATAACAAAAGCTCTGTTCTTCATCTGGGAGAAACCACTATTCCTTTTTAAACACACAACTTAGAACACTTGTTATCAAGTGTAACAGTGCTGCTTAGAATTGCTTTTCAAAAGACTTCTTCCTTAACTGAATTAATGTATTTCTGCCTGTGTTAATATTAGGATATTGAATTAGATACTAAAATTACACAGTTCATCCTCATTTTGCTCCTTAAGCTACTCCTAATTACTTGTGATTACCCCAAGAACGTTATAAACACAGCATGCAAGAAAGCTGCTTGAATTGCTCTCTTCTTTCAAGTGTCCTTTACCCATTTTTATTTCCATGCTGAGGACAGATAGTTGAAAGAGCACTGGTTTTGCACAGCCTTTTATTCTTTTACCTGTAGTTGTGATTTTTAATTTCCTACTTTAATAGTTGAGGTTGGAGGGCACCTCTGGAGATCATCTTTTCTAACCTCCCTCCTCAGAGCAGGGTCAGCTACAGCCTGTTGCACAAGGTCACATCCAGTAAGGTTTTGAGTGTCTCTGAGGATGGAGACTTCACAACCTCTTCTGTAAAAGGATGGTCTTCACTGTTTAAAATATTTGGGAACCTAAAGAAAAAATTGCTTAAGTTCACTAAATGCATCCTTCTTGAAATTATCTGGTCTTCATGTACAAAGGTGATTTGGATATCTTTTTTTTGTAATGCATACATCGTATTCTTACTTAAGATTTTTTTTTTTTATACTTAAAAATTCTAATTTCTGTTGAAGGCCATTTCATCTCACCATCATATCTACTTGATTCAGAAAAGAACAATACTCTTTACCTGTTTTATAAGAATACGAAGTTAAGGTGGTAAAAAATTTTGAGTAGATATATGAAAAAAAAAATTTGGATGCAGTGCTCGGGAAAAAAGTCACAGATGTAGTGGAAAGATTTCAGTAAAGACGTGGGGCAATGTATGGCTGTGACTGTTTTGCTGTTACCACATAGTTAAAGGTAAATTTTCAGGCTTACAGTTGCCAGCAAATCAGCTGTCAGTGGAACAGCTTTTAGGGGCTGCAAGTGTGCCTGTGGGAAAGAGCAGCATTCAAGTACAATGATGTCTTAGAGTTCAGTATTTGTTGCAAATTACTGTTATGGGATTTTTATTGGTTGTTGGATTTTGGTTTTTGTTTTTTCTTGTGTGGTTACCAACTAAAAATGAATTATTCCCTTGATAGAAAATAACAAATAATTAAAAATATTATTTAAATTGTATTTTCTTCTTACTGACTGAGATTATGGTTGAAAATAGTCATGTAAACCTTTTCATCCTATTAAGCAAATGCAGATAAAGCCTAAATGTCTGACTGGCAATTCCACCTGCTGGCCTGAGCTCTTAATGAGCCGCTTTTTTTGCATTACCATCGTGCTATGAGTAAGCATCTCCGCATGGAGCAGAGCTCACTTCGGTAGTTCATTCCTTCTTGTGACTTGTAGGAAGAAACTTACAGTAGCAAGTAACTTTTCCATTTTATTTTGCTAGGTTTCCAGCAAAAAACAAGGCAAAAATCTGGTAAATTTGCCTCTGATATCCAGTTGGTATCAAAGAGTTCAGGAAGTACCTGGAGTAAAGAAAGCTGCTGGCAAATGCAATATGGAGCTTCTCCAGCTTCCAGAGTTGATGTCTGCTCCAGATGAACAGCTGCAAGACTTCTCTTCAGTTCCTGATGAATTAGAAGAGGAAAATGAAGATAGTCATTTTATAGGTGGCCCAAGGCCGACTATGACTAAGTTAATGGTAATTTAAGCTTTTTAATGACATATTTTAAATGTTTTAATTTTAATGTTCTGTTGGTCTGAAATAGGTGAAATTTATTAGAATTGCAGAAACTAAGTCTGACAGCCTTGAACAGTTTAGTACCTTTTCCCCATCTTCTGTCTGATATGCATTGACTTAGAAGTGTTTTTCCTTTTTTTGTTCTGTTGTGATATTTGATTGATTCAGGAATTGAGCAAAGATAGGACTGCTAGAAGCCCTAGCAGTAATTCCAAATAATCAAAGTAACTTTTCCTTTGAATTGCAATATTGTATTCCTCTTCTAAAGATATTTATATAAAGTATAACAAAAACTGTTGCTTTTATGTTTGGCTTTATTCTATTGTTTCTGTTGGTTTTTTGCTATTTGATTAGAACTTTGAATGTCTGAGAACCCTAATGAATTTTGTTAAAGAAAACTCTCCATTATGTTCTATAACTCAATATTTTTTGCATAGAGGCTGACAGCATTTCCTAAACAAAATTAACAGGGCTTTCCTATGAAAATAAAAAAAAATAGAATTTGAATTCCATGTAATGTAGAGTCACCTGCTTGTTTAGTTTCAGTTAGGCTGAAAGATTAAACGCATTAAACTCAGGGGGAATTTTGCTACCAACTTCAGTGGATAAAAGATCAGAGTCTTAATTATTTTTTTTCCTCCTTTCTCATAGGAAAATGGTATTGAAGCAAAGTTTTCTCCTCATCCATGCCCCAACTGGATCCTAGACTGGACCAATCTGCCATCTGCAGTCAATCCTGGAGAAGGTAAGGGGTTTTATGTGTATAGGTGTATGTATTTAGCAGTGCTGCCTTCTAATGAAAGTCCTTAACTGTTTTATAGGAAAATAGGTCATTTTTCAATGTATTTCTGTAAAACAGGTAAGCAGTTTCCAGTCCATTTTAAAATTCAGTCTGTTTGGGATGTTTGAGACTTTCCTCAGGTCATCAATAGCTGATGACCAATCTGGAAATAAAAGCTTGACCTTGATTCCTGAACCATATATTTTCCCACCATTTTCTACTTTTCTGAACTTTTCTTCATATCTAGAGTAGGAAATTCTGATGACGTGATATTAATATAATTGGCATGAATGTTGTACATGGATTGTGTGTCCTGAAGCCGCAACAGCTGATTTTATTCTGATGAAAATAATACTGATTAGCAAAGTTTGGTAGCTGCATGTGAGTCTTCCCTTTTGCGACAGCATTCGCTGCCCTTTAAGGGTTGTTTGCTTTGCTGGACTGCAGGGGAGTCTGTTAGCTAGTGGCTCTAATTCTGCAGAGAAAAAACTGATTTATCAAGATGTTTATTGTTTCTGTTGTTATTGTTAATATTGAATACCTCTTTCACCACACAGTAGAATTTCCTCTAAAAGGTCTTATACATACTGCTAGGCAGTAAGAAGTTAGTGGACAGTAACTCCTTTCAACAGGGAAGAAAAAGGTTTGTGTCCTTTTGTGTAAATAAGCATGGAAGAAAAAACAAAACAAAACCAAAATGTGGGTTTGCATCTGTCAACTTAATAAAACTTCAAACTTCATGTGGATGTTTCGGATACGCTTCTTACATTAAAACAGCTTTGTAGTCTGACTGCTGAAATGCTCAGGAAGTGCTATGTGCATTGAATTTTTGTGACAAAATCCAGTATTTTGCTGGAAATGAATAAACATTTTTGCTTTTTTCCATTGTTGAAACAGGAAGGCTGAATGGAAATAGAGTGCTACTGCTGAATAAATGTGAGGTCTGGGAAGTACGTGGTTATATTAAGTTAAATTTGTGACCAACAAAAAATGGGACGTCTTTTCTATGGTTTCATAGCTCAGATTAGGCATCAATAAAGAGAATTTCTTTAAGCCTTTTTGGAACTTCAGTGAAGTCTGGAGTCTTTGCTTAAACTCCTGGTCCTGCATTTGTGTGAAACTTCCTTTTCTTCTGTTTAATTTCTTATTAGATGCCAAAGCTTTGTGGATATCAAGATTGATTTGACTCATTGTGATTAGAAGTCCTTCCTTTAGGCTCACCAAAAGCATGTTAAAGTGAGAGGAAGAGTGTGTGTATGTGGGGAGAGAGATAGATAACCCTTTTTACTCCTTTGTTATTCTGATCATACATGGGGAATCAAGTCTTCTGTACTGTTTTTTCATCAAGCGTTGTGTTCACTGTGAAACAGAAAAAAAGGGAGATTATATATTGTAACAGGAATCTATTTTTTCTTTCTTTAAAACACTTTCTCAATTACCTAAGTTTTTTACCCAACAATGAAACTCAATGAGAGATAACTGACCCACAGTCTCACAAACCCTTCCTTTTCTCACGAGCTGAAATACTTGTTAAGTGGGAAGTACTTATGAAAAGTGGTTTATATGGTATTACCAGATAGACTGACAGAGTGTATATGTGATGGTAGTTACTTCCAAAGTAGGTGGTTAGCTGTGAAGAAATTTATACTGTTCTTTCCAAAGTGTGAAAATGCTCACAGAATGAATATAGCAAGTAGTAAACTACATTCTGTAGGTTTGTGAGTAATGCCCTCTTCTCTGTAAAAATATCTTTTCTTAAATGATGAAATTGTAGTAGACCAGAAGAGACTTCCGTAGCTGAGATACAACTGAATGTGGAAAGACCACTATAATAAAAAAGTAGCAGTGCATGCACAGTAGGAGATGGAGATTTCAGTTATGAAGTCTGTGAAGAGTTTGAAGTGGAGGAAGTTAGTTTAAAAAATGTAGGCAAATAAATAAAGCTAGATCAGAATAAATGAATGCATTTTACAAGTGCAGCTTAATCTTACCAGTTAATGAAAGACATGTAGCCCTTTAATTTTGCGGCAGGTCCTATTCATAGGGCAAATTTTTTCTAAACAAGTGAATTTTAATGGATTGTGTGTAAACATGACTCCCAATGAAGCACGTCACGTATTTTATATGCTTCATTATTGCTAGTAAGAAATTTTGATTTATAAAATTGAATTGATTGGGACACGTATTTGACTTGAGCAGGTGAAATTTTCTGTGTACAAATTTTAAAAAGTCAATACAGAAAAAGAAAAGGCCTTTCACATCAGTGTCTAGTGCCTAGGTATAAGAAAGGTTGTTAATCCGTTGCAAGGCAATGAATACCTGCCTAGCTAAAGACGAAATGACTCTAATCATGTTTGTTTGATTTTTGCTTGCTTTGATCAGTATCAGGTTGGTGACTGAGTTAAATGACCATGTAAAACTGTCACAGAAAGGTTAGCCTTAATAACACAATATGCAGATTGATACTTGCCCGTTGTTTGCATTCAAGCCTTCAGACTTTTGAGAAAGTAGCTAGATTTTCAGAATGCTTAGTTTTTAAAATGAGATGTAGTTTGGAAAGCCTAACATCTACTGTTCAGGGATAAGGCTGTCCCTTAAACAGTTGTTGATGAGAGATTTGTTACCTTGATTTATAAGCCACAGAATATTTCATGATATACTGTAAATACTGTTGGTTTGTGATTTATTTTTTTAACGGGGTAGGAAGAGAAGCAGAATTCAGAAAATACAGGTAACGTTTATGCAACATTTAAAAGATTGCCTTTATGTTGTCTTCAAATTCTCAGCTGACATAAATTATTTAGGAAAAGATCTTCTGTGCTTTTTATTTTTTGAGTGGCCTGCTTTTATTAATAGGAGGATTTGAATATATGCATGAGTATAAATCTTACTAAAGGTGTCATATTCACTTATTTATGTACGTAGGGAGTACAGAATGTTCACATTAGACATAGAGAGTTTGATTTACAGAAATAATTGTGACATGAGGATGAAGCTCTTCTGATTGTGCCACCTTATGTTTGGTAGTTGTGGTAATTTTTTCCCCTAAATGAAATGCTACATTTTTGAGATTGGGATATTGTTTTATTTGGCAAAACCGTAAGTGAAACAGTTGAAACATAGTTTCCGATAACTGGTTATCTCAAATCATTTGAGTATGGTAAGAAATTATGAATAAATCTAGTATGTGGATTTGAGAATAGACATCATAATAAATATGCACAGCCAGATGAAGAACAGAAAAAAGTCTTAAAATTATTTTAAAATAAACTACTCATGAATTAAGAATATGGAAAGATGGAGATTTCCACTGTCTTTGTGTTTCACTGGAATAAAAAAAAGCTCTTGGTGGTATAGTATGCAGAGGTTTGTTACAATGCCCTTTAAAAACATGTCCGTGAAAACCCCAAGGCAGTGAAACTTGCTTCCCTGTAGAAGGAGGATCTTTGTGTTCCACAGTTGTCACAGAGGGCTAATGTTCACGTTTTCTTTGTGGCATTAATTATTTGCAAACCAGGTTTTGGTTTTGACCTACTGTCCAACATAAGACTCTAGTAGAAATATTTTTCTGGCAGAAAGAAAAATCAATTACAGATATTTGGCTGATGCTTTGTTGCAATGGAATTGTTAAAATATCTTAGGAAGGCAAGAAGTGTTTTCCGTCATTGGCAAAATTTAATTGGCTAAATAAAATTTCAGTGGGATGTGGACCTCAAGTATTTTTATGGTTGGACAACCATTGTTCTTGGAGATCTTATTTATATATATTATTCCAAAGCAGTATGACTTGTCCACTGGAGTCGTCTCTCAAGGACTGAGTTCATTCACCGGAAGTGCTTTGCAAATACCGAGTACCATGTCAGTAATTTGCAACTTGTGTTCTCTCTCTCTCTCTGTATCCACTCTCATTTCCTTCTTTGTCTGTAAATACTGGTGTTATCGGACATTTTTTGATAAACTTATGTTAGGTTTTGAGAAAATATTTGTAAACAGAGTATGCAGAGGAATTTTTCAAGAGTTTACTTCCCTGTCTGCTTTCTGTGAGACATCAACTGAAGGATTTTCTCTGCTTACAAATTAACAGTACAAATATAGTCTGGCCCAGGAACTGCAATTCTTTCATCAAATGATAGATTAGCACAATCAAAGCAAATTTCCCCATGTTAGATGTTCCTCATGTCTGACTGATGTCAGAGTGATCCCATGTCTCGATTTCCCATGTGTATAACTTATGAATTAAGGCATCAGCTGATTTGCCTACAGTTGAGTTAAAGCCTCTGGTCTTTCTTTAAAGTATACAAGTTGTGAGGCAATTAAAAAAAATCATTTACCTGTTTACTACGATGTTGTTTTGTAAAGTGACTTCTCAGGTCCCTAGACTCTGCGCAGTTCCTCGTACCCCACTATGTTGCCCAGTAATTCTATTACAGGATCTGAAATACTACTCTAGTAACAAATGTTTCTGTAGTCTATTTCATTAGATCAGTAACACTCTTGAAACTCATAAATTCGTACATTTTAAAGCTAGATAGACAATGTGTTCATCTATACCTGTCTCTTGCTTGATTTTAGCTATAAGCTAAATTTATAATTGCTTGCATTAAGCAGAATGATTCATAGAATAATAGTAATATAAACAAGATACTTGACTGAAGGAAGAGTATAATTTTCTTTCTCCAGAATGGAGATTAAGCTGTACATTACATACTCTAAAGTGAAAGTACCAATTATGAAGGAGAGCAATTTTAAAGAAGAGCTTCTGTTAAACATACGGGGTGTATCAACAAGAATAAAGCAACGTTTACAACTTTAGTTTAGAAACATCTCCAAACCTTATATATGCTAAAACATAATGGCCTAGAACAGTAACAGTAACACAGAACATAATGTTATAGTTCTGTGGAATTAACTGATCTGTTGATTAAACGGTCTTAGTGGTATACCAGACAACGATCCTAGAGGAT